TATAATTCAATTTTATGTTTTTAACGCGATGATGAGCGAAGCGATTTTGATAATTATTTTTTGTTAAATAATTTATACTTCAAGGATATTCCATACATATTTGAATAAAAAAAATGCTACCTATAATGGTTTTAATTCTTCAATATACTATGTCTTAACAACCTCAGAATGTGAAATACTTTTCAGTTCTTTTCCGCAGACTTGGAAAAAGCAAATAGAGAGTATAGGAATCAGTAATCCGTATCAAGGATGTCCTAAGTAGGTCCAATACACGCCCAGCAGTGGATTCTTTAGGCTGATGGTGAAAAATAAGAAGAACCACAAGGCCTAACTGATGAATATCATCATCACTATCATCGGCCTGCGATAGTCCACAGCTGCGCATAGACCTATCTAAGGCGCGCCACTTAGCCCGTTCTTCGGCCGACCGACGAATGAATGAATATGATATGCTGCTATGCGAGTAGCTCTAACGCGATAAATGGGAGGCATATAATCTTGAATACCGGTAATCGTATTATGTATAGTATAATTTAAAATTTAAAATTTTGTACAGCCGACTTCAATATAAGCGACTTCAATATAAGTTATTTAAGAATAACTCAATAACCATTGGTCTAACCTTGATCAAATTTATATGGGACCACACGAGAACTATCAGCTTTCATATGAAAAAAGAATCATCGAAATCGGTTCCCCCAGTACAAAGTTATGAGGTAACACACATTAAAAAAAACATACAGTCGAATTGAGTACCGTCTCCTTTTTGGAAGTCGGCAGAAAATTAAATACGATAAAATTAAATTAATCCATATTAGTTTTAAAAGTAACATCTTATACGCCTTACACCAGGTGTTCAAATTTGTATGGAGAAAAATTAGTTTGTATTTATTCAATTTAAAATTTGATGCAGTATATGCACGGTGAATATGAAGAGGTAATGAGTTTCGCAAGGACAGCTGTAACAGAAACGAATTCATTAAATAAGGATGAATGTACGGGAGTACACAGTTTCACTATTCGAATATTCGGAAAAGCCTTACTTTCCTTAAAATCTACGATTATTATCATGCTGAAATATGAGAAAGTTTCTTTGTGATAGCTTGAGTTCTCAGTATTATGCGATCTCATAATAAGTGTGGTTCATGACTGCCTGGACACTATAACGTGGACGCGGAGCGAAAAGCTAGTAATATTTTATAATTTACAATTACTATTAATAAAATTACACAATTGATGCAAATGCATTTATATATTAGATATTTACGTGTTATTTCTTCAGATCTTGTCATAATATACCGGATACAAGTAGTTTAGAACAAGTGTCTCTGTGCGTGCGCTATTTTGGTACATAGCGATTACTATTGTGCTTAAACTATATTTTTTTGGTTTCGTCTCTTGTGGTTATGTTTTAATTTTTGTCGTCTCTTTATACTGACGAGTGAATGCCACTGTGTTATTGCGTGCTTTAGCACTAAAATATGTCTTGTAAATTGTGGATTGGGGAAGACATTATATTAAGAACTAGAACCGGATCCACTAATATGTCATCATTAAGATATATAAAATAATCATCATAGATCATTTATTTTATCAGTTTTACAAAAATAAAACGTGTGTGTGTATACTTATGTACGCACGTAGGAAGTTTACGTACGTTACGTAAGGTTACGCTAAAGAAATATTCTTTAGCGTAACCTTAAATATAGTTATCAGTTCCCACGAAACTTGAGAGACAGTTACCCAATGAAGTTGTCGCTTTGAGGTGTCAGTGTATCGTAACAACTTCATGGTGTCGTTTTTATCTGTCGGTGTGCGCGCGCATCGTAAAAAAATCACTCTCCTAATTTTTCCCAAACGCCCCAAAAGAAGTATAACTTCAAAAATCTCTAAGATTATCGGATAAAATAGCCTAGATCACTCCTGGCATTGCTGTCTATTTGTTCATAAGATTTCATCACAGTACGAAGATTAGCCCGGTCAAACAGACATACAGACAACATTTTGTAAATGGATATTCATGTTTAATGGCATGCAAATAACCCACTGAGCTCAATGAAGGGCAGTTATTTCGATATTACAGAGTGACACAATTTAATTTATATGTGTAGATAAAGATTATGCATAGACGGAGCTAAACACAAGAAGGTTCCGAGATTATGGAAATGCAGTACCTATGATTGTGTAACTCTGGTGGGAAATATTTGGCGGTGGAGAGGGAACAACTCCGAAACTGTCTTATGCATTATTATTATGATATAACATAATAATCTAATATATAAAAAAATATTTTTGTTCATCAGATTGCGGTAAAAGCTTGTCAACTTATTACTTGTACTTGCGTGACAGTTATAGGCATAGTACAATTATCTTACAGTAACTGACGCGCGTGTCGTACCGACAAATTTATATGATAGTTATATTATATTATATCATTCAATTTCAATGACAGTATTATGATTCCTAATTAAACAACATAAAACTTCCAAATTTAAAATGATATTTCCGCAATTATTTCTTTTGCGGCCGGATACCAGTCTTAAATAAGACATCGGCTTATATTGTTACTGATAGATTTACACAATCTTTTTTTTTACTTATTATAAGCCAGTGCTTGACCACAATCCCACCTGGTGGTAAGTGGTGATACAGCCCTAGATGGTAAACCGCACAGTCTTAGCGTAACAAAAGCCTATTCACTCTTGCCTTGAGACGCCCAGATTGTATTCGGACGGAAAGATAGATCAATCCAATGAAAACAAACGTTAATCCGCCAAAACAAAGTCAACACGATACTCACTAGAGTTGCAGCTAAGAGTAATTACATACATACGTTGCACAATCGCGCTGCTAGACTGGACTCGTCAAGAAAATTATGAATGAGCATTTGACGAGCACATAGCGGAACAAATATCTAAATTACTTCTGCGACCTAGATTTGAATCATACCCGTAGTCAAAATTTGGGGCATATCTACAAATTACGTTGTAAGGTCTGAGCGTATTGTCGTTATAAATATTAAAACGTGACCAAAAGTTTTGCTGATGGTTGCAACTTACCATATCAATTTACCAAAATCTTGTAAAAATATTATTGATGGTTGATATATTATAATAAAACCATTGACACTTGTACTAAATAAATAAAACATTTTGACCCTCTTTCTTCTTGGCGAAGAATAATAAGGCAGTTGCTCTCTTGCTTTCATGATGCATAGGCAGCACAACATATTATGTAGAGTGCTCGTAAGAAAATAATATCTATAACACGTTTTTATGATTAAAATCTTTATTATGATATTATATTATTATTATAATGTCATAATAAAGATTTTAATATATTATAATAAATTTGTAATATATTATATAATTATCCTAATATCTTTTTAAGTTTAAAAATACAATATCGGTTGTATCTATCAGCTTTATATTATTGTTTGAGGAATTTTGTATATATATATATTTTGATATATATATGTGTTGTGTGTATATTTATGTATATATGTTTATATATATGTGTATATGTATGTATATGTATATATGTGTATGTATGTATGTATATGTGTATATGTGCATGTATATGTATATATTATATGTGTTACCTTATAGTTTATTATGTGTTAGTAATTTATATTATTTCACGTATTACTTAGTTATTTATATCTTTTTTTTTGCATTTATTATTTGTATATTTATATTGCACCACCTACCACCTACCTATTCATTGTTTGTATTACTTTACACCTTCGGTTGCCTGGAAGAGATCGCTATGTAGCGATAAGGCCGCCAAATTGTACATATTATAATCTGATTTTTGTTATGACATTTGTATATTTGTTCGTGGTGTACAATAAAAGTATATTCATTCATTCATTCATTCATATCGGTCATAATTTGAACACAAAAAGATAGTTAGGTAGGTATGCCGAATCTTATAAACATGTAGTTATTTCTATTACGTAAGTACCTATCTTTACTCCATTTTTCAATACTTTCATTTTTCATAAGTATTTTAAAAGGCCTTCGAATTTTAATTATCACTTACTTCGACTAATACCATTAGCGATTCATTACATTATTATTTTCATCGGAAGGCCTTAATTGCATTCCACTGATTAAACCATTGTTTTAATTTGTAAGAGAGCAATAATTGTAACAACCAAGTATATTATAGCAATTGGTCTAGAAAACTTTTGTGTAAGTATGTTTATCCTTGAAAATAATTATTTACAATTACGTCAAAAGCATTCTCATCACTACACCACAAAATAAGTAATGTATTTATAGTGATGTTCCTTTCGCTACTGTAAAATAAATATAATAAATATTTGACTTTTTATAATTATTGTTATGAGGAAAAAAAATAAACCTAAACACAACAAACACCGTGAGCAAAGTGGGAGCATGAAGGGTACCTTCCAAAACTTTTTTTTCCATCTACCATTTTATCGCCGCGCTGGCGTAAGAGACTCCACTACCCAAAGTCATTCCGTACCTAGGTGTCGTAAGAGGCTACAGAGGGAAATGAAACAGGAGATAGGCCAGAGGTTGACAACCGCAGTTTTTTTATTGCAACATCAAGCGTGGCAAATATCCCCTTAAAAGGCAATCTATGGGGAGGCCTATGTTCAGCGGTGGACTTTCGATGGACACTAATCTGGTGAACCGTCTTGTTTAGTAAACATAGTAATTATTGAGTAAATAGAAATGACTGCAAGAACTCGTGACGGCTTTTATATACCTATATATACCAATTCCCAGGTTATATACCCTGACTCGTGACAGTAACAGGCATCTAAGTGTCATTTGGTACATAGGTATAGTCCTCTATATTATTATGAAGGTCCACGTCCAGCAGTGGATTGTATAGGTACATAACAACTGACTTTCATAGATATAGATACTTCTTTAGTTAGGTATCAATTAAATAGAAAATTAATTTTTATAAGCAAGTCAAGCAGTCTTAATAAGTATAATTGCATATTTTTATAAAATTCTTACATCGTCAGGTGGAAAGTCGTAGCATTCTGCTATCTTCTGATAAAGTTCCTTCACATTCGAAAATCCAGATATAAGTCCAAGAGGGCTCCCTTGTGCCTGTTGACAGTGGAAGACCAATTGCGATTTCTGTGACCCGTTGTTATTTTCCAACCCGTTTTCGTGATGATTATCAATGTCTTCCGTGGGAGCTGAGGGCACCGGCGGTGGATTATATTTCGGGGCCTTCTTTTTGAACAACGACATTCCGGAAAACACTTAACGATGTATTATAATTTATAAAAAAAAACGTTCCCAAAGCGAGTGAATGTCAATGCGCACTCATTATTCACTAGCACACTTAAAAAAATTAATCACTGCGATGTCGCCTTACTTGCAAGAACAGTAAACGTATTTATCATTGTTACGATAACTTATCACTCAATTGTGATATTGGATAAGATTATATTTTTGAAGGTAAGGCATAACAGATCGCGCACGATCCGGCGAACGTAACCACACCGAATGGAAGTTGGCAAACGACTAAAACTAAAACTAAATAAACTAAATGATGAGGTCGAGCGAGCTGTCGAGTGACGAGTGCCGACTGACGAACCCCATAATATGTGTAAGCGAGCGCGATATAACCACCTGCGCGGAACAGTTTTTCCACGAACGTTATCAAAATATTACAGCATACATATATACCAGTCTTCGCAAAACGAATAACTTTAGATAAATAAAACAGACCGATTCCATTTTTAAAAATAAATAAGTTTGAGAAACATACGTGGTAATGAAGACCACGGATAACATTCCGGCGGGCTGGCTCCGCACGTTCACAAGGTTACTAATTTATTTTTCTTTAACGGCTCTTACTCATTTCCGTTTCTTAAGCTGGTGATTAATGTACATGAACAAGCATCATTTTCTATAATCTGAGCATTATATTATTTAATTGAAAGATAGTGACGAATCTTGACCTACATATGTACCTACATCCATCGACTTGTGTGGATTCAATGGGGGAGGCCTCTGTTTAGCAGTGGACTTGTGAAGGTCTGTAGTGATAATGATGATGAGTATTTGAAGAGAATATGTAGTGAGTGAATAATAAGAATTGATTTAATTTTACATAATATATACATAAAAACTCACTCCTGTCACCCAGAGTAGGCACAGACTTCCATTTGGCACGATCCTGACACACCTCTCTCGCCTCCTTTACTATCTCATCATAATATCATAATATCTCATCTATATATCTCAAACTCTCGCAAACATGCTCGTCGGTTTTTTTTTATAAGATAAGGGTGAAAAACGAGCACAAAATCCACCTGATGGTAAGTGGTTGCTGTGGCCCATAGACATCTACATCTATTCTCGTTTGCGAATAAAATGCAGATGCGTTGTCAGCCGTGAGGACTAAGATGGAATGCCTCGTTTCCAATAAAAAGGGTCTCGATGGATGAATGGCGGTACCACCCGGTTTACGCCGGATGTAAATAAAATACCCAGACCTGTAACTAAAAGCAGCGTCACAGGTGTGAGACGTTCAGTCTCCCTACCAAATGGAGAGGCAATTTTATTTTCATTAACCAAATACAAAATTCCCATCTATTCTTCGCGAGGCGAAAAAGTTCGGCAGCACTTGCGATTCCCGTCCACTCCCGGATGTAACATAACCATGACTCTTTTCTGGGACCGATGCCTCTTCTTCCGGAAACTTTTCCCATCATAATGAGTTTCAGGAGTTCGTAACTCTCGTGCTTGAGCACGTGACGGTCTGCATAAGTTCGCGCTTTCGGTCGACTCGTAACAGAACTTCCACATTCGTTACTTGTAAAGTCCAGCTAATGGCCGACATACGTCTGTATGCCCACATCTCGAAAGCTTCAATGCGCAATCTACACTGCCGCGGAACGGAACGGATGCGAATTTTTGTAACGAAATTGTACGTAGTTAAATGAGTTTTACGTTAATTATATAAAGTTCAAACTAGATATGCGCCAAAAAAATTCGCGCGTTTTCTCGAGGATTCCTCTAGCTACTGTTAGCGCAGTCTCCACAGACTCCACGGATTCCACAATCCACGGGAAGCGGCGCGAAGGTTGTGGAATCCGCTGGAAACCGGGAAGTGGCACTCGCAGCAGTGCGGCATCAAGCGCCTATGAAAAAGGCGGAGTCGCTGGAGTGCGGCTTCCCGCGCGACGAGGCAAAATTGACGCTTCCATTCCGCCGCAATTTAAATTGAGCCTAAGTTTTCGAAGGTCCTCTTTAAGTGTCCACGCCTCACATCCGTATAAAGTATGGGCCAGGCCATTTCTTATACTACTTCCGTCAAAATGCAGGGCGTATTGTTGGCGAATATTATGTCACCCACTTACATACTATGTAGGTACCTACTGTAATTAATATCCTATCTTGGATTAAAGCTTGATCTATTATAAAGATAGAGGTGTCAATATCACAGAGCAGTATTATGCTACGCTACTAGAAAAATTCAAAGATGCGATGATTAAAGCGATGCGAAAAAAACAGACTTCAATATAAATTATTAAGAATAACTCAAATACTATTGGTCAAACGTTGATAAAATGTATATGGGACCACCTGAGAAGTAGCAAATAAAAAAGAATCATCGAAATCGGTTCACCTAGAAAAAATTTATAAGGTAACACACATAAATAAATAAAAAATACATGCAGTCGAACTGAGTACAGTCTCTTTTTTGAAGTCGGTAGAAAGGGGACAACATCGAACTCGTTCACAAGTCATGTTGCGATGGCTTCCTTACACAATTACGGCTTCGAAACTTTAAAACTACCTTCCCTGTAATCCAGATTTGGCCTCTTCGGATTATTTGTTCCCAAATATGAAAAAGTGCTTCGGGGAAAGAAACTTACAGATGACGAAGTGAAGTCAGCAATTTCTTTTTTTTTTTCGAAGATGTAAGTTATTTATGAGAATATATATCGAAAACGAAAAGTAATTTCATGTTTAATTTCACCCCCTTTCACTTTCATTCCGCGAATTCTATGACGTCCCCTCGTACTTTTTGTTGAACTTACGTACAACTGTTACATCCGAGAGGGTTTTGGGGCAAGGAAGAGTGCACCACGGTGTTCCATAGTGTTGGCGAACTTCAGATTCCCGAAATAAAAATAAAAAATCCAGGTTTGTTAACGATGTTTCTTCGCAAGGTAACTAGTGCCTCTCGGATTATCTATGCACAATAGCAATAATAATTAACAAATAAAGCTGCGTTAATCGAAGATCCCGCGGCGAGTGCAACTGCACAGAATAAATTAGCAAAGTCAGAGCACTTCGGCAGAATTGGCGAGAAACTAGTTAGACTTCTTTCGGGAACACGATCATTCTGGTCTGGAAGGCTGTCCAAAGGAACTTCTGTCAGCCATCTTTGCCGTCTCTGCACAGGGGAGGACGACTCACTGGACCATGCCGCAAAGGAGAAAACCGATCTGCTAGGCTCTCCTTTTGCGTCCAACCCTACTCTCGATCACAGGAGGAACACACCGCCGACCATCCCGCGGTGTAAGTGCTCCATGCAGGATGTGCGATTTACACAGCGCTCGGTTCGCAAAGCACTACTTTCCCTGGACATCCACAAGTCGAGTGGGCCTGATGGAGTCCCTCCTATTGTGCTGAAGACATGTTCCGGAGTTGGCACCGGTTTTAACGCGTCTTTTCTCACACTCCTTCTCTCTAGGCTTAGTCCATCCCGAATTTATAGAAGTCAGATTTGGTCCACCTAATCCCCAAAAATGGCGATCGCTCAGACCCGTCTTAACTGCATGCCTATCACCTCCTTGTTCACCACAATAATAGAAAAGGTATCGGAATCATCGGCGTCGACATATCGAATGAGATGCTGTTTCGTGGTCTCTTGGAAAAGAAGTCCAAATTGGCCTCTAAAAAGCTTGGAGTGCTCAGCAGGGTGGGACAGTATTTCATGCCAGCACACCGCCTGCCTGACTCAAACAAGGCGCAGGTTCGGCCTCACATGGAATACTGCTCCCATCTCTGGGCTGGGGCTCCCGTGCCAGCTCCTTCCATTTGATCGCATCCAGCGCAGAGCGGTTCGAATCATCGGTGACCGAACTTTCTGATCGGCTCGACTCTCTGGCACTGCGAAGTGTTGCGTCTCTGCGTATTTATCACATCTACCACGCGGGGAGTGCTCTGATGAATAGTTCAGACTAATTCTAGCCGCTCAATTTCACCATCGCACATCACGACAAAACTCACGATACAATCCATACCATCTGGATGAATCCTGCGATTTAGATATTTTCTTCCTTGCACAACTTCCGCGTGGAATAGACTACCGCCAGAGATATTTCGAACCGATACTACTAAGGGACCTTCAAGAAAAGAGCCTACTCTTTTTTAAAAGCATCTGCAATTTCCTGGTGTTAGTTGTTCATAGGCGGCGATAGTCACTTACCATCGGGTGAGCCGCATGCTCGTTTGCCCCCTCTCCTATGTAAAGAAAATATATGACTGATATACATATTTTGTAACTAGTGCTTCCTTCTGATTAGTCATGAATGTACGACATAATTTTGACATACTCTATTATAAGTGCTAAAGTTAATTATAGGTAACGTAATTAAAGGTGCTTTAATTGTATTGTTGCAATTCTTATATAATAAGATCAGAAGTTAACACACCTTAGGGTCCAAATAGAATCCTATCACAGATTCACAGAATACATTTTATTGCACGAAATCAAGCTCTTACCCGCTATTTCTCGTCGGCTAGATGTGGCATGTAAGCCGTGTAGTGGCGGTTAAGAATATCCACTACCCCATATCTTCCCGTGGGTGTCGTAAAAGGCGACAAAGGGAAACGGGCAGATGGGCAGCAGCATCTTCCCGATAACAGCAAAAGTACAATAAAAAAAAAACTGCTGTTGCTAACCCGCTCGCCAAGCGTGGTAACTATGGCAAATACCCCCCAATGATTAGAGCAACAAAGAGACGGCCCCAAGTCCCCGCTATTCCTGCTACGGTGGTGACCATGGTAACGGCGAGGCAAGGGGTGCTAAGAATCTCCGGTGGAAGTTCGGTTGCCACCTAAGACTACTCGACCTGGCAACATCAACGCACGCACCCTGAGGACTGACGAGATCGTGGAGCTGGAAAAAGAGATAGACAAGTTACGCTGGCATATTAGAGGGTTATTCGAGGTCCGAAGAGAAGGGGAGGACATGGTAATCCTCGAATCCGGCAACTTGCTCTATCACCGGGAGGGCGACCATCTGTCCCAAGGAGGTGTCGAATTTATCGTCCACAAGTCTCTCGTTAACAAAGTTGTAAAGATTCAGTGTGTCGACAAGGGTTGCGTACCTTATACTCAGAATCACCAAACGGTATTCGCTGAAGGTCATACAGGTTTACGCACGAACCTCAGCACATCCCTATGAGGAGGTGGAGGAAATGTATGAGGATATCTCTAGAGCCATGCATTCCACCAAATCCCACTATACGGTGTTAATGGGAGACTTCAATGCAAAACTAGTCACAAGAGAGAACGGTGAGCTGAAAGTAGGGAAATTTGGAATAGGGCAACGGAACCCAAGGGGCCAACAGCTGGCCGACTTCATGGAGAAAGAGGGACTCTTTATGATGAACTCTTTCTTCCAGAAGCGGACCCACAGGAAGCGGACCTGATCGAACCCCGATGGTTCGACAAAAAATGAGATTGACTTCATTATGACGACCAGACGACAACTGTTCAATGATGTCTCCGTGATTGCGAGGGTGAAAACCGGTAGCGATCACCGAATGGTTAGAGGCACACTGAACCTAAACGTTAAATTGGAGAGGTCTCGTCTAATAAAGTCAACGCTCCGTCCCCCTCGTGTCCTGTTCCAAAGTCCCGAAACCTTTCAGCTAGTTACAAAACCGTTTTCAGTGCCTAGAAGACTGCAATGAAGTGGATGATATGAATGACAAGCTCGTAGAAACTGTCCATGCGGTCGGAGCAAAGTTCTGCAAGACCCGCCGCAGAAGAACACAAAAACTCTCCGATTCCACTCTTAATCTCATGGCTGTTAGACGGGAGATGAAGCTACATTCTTCAACAGATTTGACAGCATACAGGTAACTGAACAGACAGATCTCCAAATGCATGCGGCGGGACTTGCGCAACTTCAATACAGCTTGTATTGAAGAAGCGATCGAGCGGAACCAAGGCTCCAGTCTTTGCCAGAAAGAGCCAACTGTCAAAGCTGAAGACCGAGTGTGGCAGCATCGTTTCCGGGACACCTGAGATTTTGAGTAAGAATGAGATGTTCTATAGGCAGCTGTACACGTCATCGTTGGAGCCACACGCAAGTGGAGTAACGATCCAAGAGCGAATCTTATCAGACACTATTCCGAAGATATCCCGGAATCAGTTTGAGCGAGATTAGAATGGCTCTCCAGCACCTTAAAAACGGCAAGTCCCCAGGTGAGGATGGAATTACAGCGGAACTTCTGAAAGCGGGTGGAAAACCGGTACTTGAAGTCCTTCAGCTCTTTAATTCCGTCCTCCATGGTGGCACTACTCCGGAGGCGTGGAGCAGAAGTGCGGTGGTCTTGTTCTTCAAAAAAGGCGACAACGATCTCTTGAAGAACTACAGACCGATTTCCCTTCTGAGCCGCATCTACGTGCTGTTTTAGTCATTACAAATCGTCTCGCACGCAGACTTGACGACTTCCAGCCTCCCGAACAAGCCGGTTGCCGAAAAGGCTTTAGTACCATAGACCACATACATACCCTGCGGCAGATTGTACAGAAGACAGAGGTGTATAATCTGCCACTTTGCCTTGCGTATGTGGACTATGAGAAAACCTTTGATTCCGATGAAATTAGGGCGGTGCTGCAGTCCCTACAGCGGTGCCAAGTTGACTGTTGGTATATCGAAGTGCTGAAGTGTTTGTACAGTAGAGCTACGATGGTTATTCGAGTACAGAGTCAGAGTACGAAACCTATCCAATTGCAGAGAGGTGTAAGACAGGGTGACGTTATATCCCCGAAACTCTTCACCGCTGCATTGGAAGACATTTTCAAGCTACTGGACTGGAAAGGATGCGGTATTAACATCAATGGCGAGTACATCACTCACCTTCGATTTGCCGACGATATAGTCCTTATGGCAGAATCGCTGGAGAATCTAAGCGCCATGCTCAATGACCTCAATAGTGTCTCCCAACTGATAGGTCTTAAGATGAACATGGACAAAACAAAAATCGTGTTTAACGTCCATGTCACACCTATGCCGGTAGTTGTTGGGAGCACTAAGCTCGAAGTTGTTGACGAGTATGTTTACCTGGGGCAAATAGTCAGACTAGGTAAGTCGAAATTCGACCGAGATGTCAATCGACGGATTCAACTCGGCTGGGTAACGTTCGGGAAACTACGACACATCTTCTCGTTAGACATACCTCAAAACCTGAAAACGAAATTATACAACCAGTGCGTGTTGCCAGTGATGACTTACGGATCTGAAACATGGTCCTTCACTGCTGGCCGTATGAGGCTCAAGGTGGCTCAGCGAGCTATGGAGAGGGCTATGCTCGGGGTGTCTCTGCGTGATAAACTTAGAAATGAGGATATCCGCAGTAGAACCAGAGTAACCGACATAGCCCAACGGATTAGTAAGCTGAAGTGGCAGTGGGCCGGCCATATAGGTCGAAGAACCGACAACCGATGGGAAAGAAAGGTTCTCGAGTGGCAGCCTCGTACCGGTAGGCGAAGTGTAGGTCGACCCCCTACTAGATGGAGTGACGACCTGGTGAGACATGCAGGAAGTCGATGGATGCAGGTGGCTCAGGACCGTGCTTTCTGGCATTCCTTGGGGCAGGCCTATGTTCAGCAGTGGACGTGTGAAGGGCTGTAATGATGATGATGATGATGATGATGATGATGATGATGAGATGGGGAAGGATAAGGTTTATAATGACTTTGCAATTAGGTTTTAATTGTTTATTGGTATTACGAAATAAACCTACGAAGACGCTACAGCTTTTTTAGGTGTAGGTTTTCCCTCTTTGAATCCGTTACGGAATCGTCTTCTTACAATCTTGAGGTGACGCATACGACCAGTTCCGGTAGTCTTCCTGCGTTTAGCCTTTACGGACCAGTGATCTGAAAGATTATCAATATTTAAATATTAAAAAAAAAATATATTCGACTAACATATTATTATTATTGGGAGCTCAATGGCGAAGCTCACCAATGAAATTGTTAATTGTAATTTTAAGCACTGATATACCTCAGGTAGGAAAATTTGGCGTCAAAAAAACCTCGTGGCCACCCGGAGAAGGTGACGAAAAGAAGGGGATCGGCTTGAGTGTCAAAACAATATTAGATAATCAATAAAATAAAGGAGTTAGACTAGTACCAAAAACCTTATTAAAAGCGATATCAACCTGGTGGAGTTCCACATATCTTATGCTAGAGATTTGGTGCGTTGGAAGAAGACTTAAAAGCTACAATTTCTCCTCTCTTGCCAGTGGACTTACCTATAATACCAAATTATGAATGGAAATTAACTAAGCAAAAGGTGCAAAGTAATAAAACCATTATATGAAATAACAAAAATAGTCAGCTGGGAAAATTAACCATGTCGCTTTTCTAGTAGCTAATGACGAATTAGGCTTAGCTTTCCATTGACTCCCGTCGAGTTGGGGGGTTGATACGTATTTTTACAGAAAAGTTACACTATTATAAGCACACACACACAAAGTTACAACATGCGCAAACACGTAATTTTTGAGAAAAAAGTTATTGAAAATCAATTATTCTTGCATTGTTTATATCTAATCCTACCATAAAACTGACGCCATTTTGTAATGTCATTGTCGTCAGTAGGAATGTCGATTCTTTCCGAAAAAGGTCAATTTTTAAATCGATTCAAATCGTAAGCTGATGTTTGCATTTATAATGTAAATATAATTCCATTTTATGAAAAACAAGAAAGATACCATATGATATGGCAGCGAAACCTGGGTATGCCAGAAGAAGCATAAAAGTAAGTTGAATGCAGTGGAGATGCGATCTCTTCGTAAGATGTGCGGCGTTACCATGGCCGACCGAAAGCGAAACGAAGAGATTCGCAATATGGCAGGTTTGAAAGATGACCTTATCACAAAAATTGATAAGGGCGTGCTTCGGTGGTTTGGGCACGTTGAGCGAATGAGTGAAGACCGAATGGTGAAGAAAATATATAGCGCGAAAGTTAATATTAAAAGGTGTCGAGGTAGACCGAGACTAACTTTCGAAGACCATGTGAGCAAATTGCTCGAAGAGGGTAGGGTCAAAAGTACTCGGATACTTAGACGTGCATGCATGAAGAAGATAATGAATCTGAAAGAAGCGAAAGAGGTTTGTAAGGATCGTGACACTTGGCGATCTGTTCTCTCTGGCTACCCCGTCAGGGATTGTGCGTGAAGATAAGTAAGAAAGATACCATAATAATTGATCTCTTATTGAAATTTGTTTTATTTTAACAGTACCAATTAGGGCAGATAACAAATAAAATAGGTTAGGTTCAACTTATGTCTAAGAACCGAATTGATTGACCCCGACTCCACCTGGTACGAGTCTGTCCTACCCCCAGAGTGGTTTTAAAGAGCCGGAGGCGCGTAGGGGGAGCAGCCTCCGCCTGCTGTAACAAATCGTAGGCATCGTGCGAGCCGGAGCGGTTGAGGCTGGTCGCCGAAGGCGACCAACAAGCCGAAACTGCAGAGGCGAGGAGGGATGCCTGCGATTTGCTACGCTAAGGCGTAGAGGCTGCTCTTCCCGCAGCGCTGGAGACGTAGCAGTCTCAAAATAGATACAGAAAACTTTCTGAATCAGTCCCCCTATATTTTATGATGAAGGGGATTTTTTTCTCATAAAATGGATTTATATTTACATTATAAATGCAAACATGAAAAAATATAGATATTTTAGAAATCGATTTTTTGGGAATCGATACATCAGCTTACAATTCGAATCTATTTAAAAAATCGATCTTTTTCGGAAAGAATCGACATCCCTACTGACAATAACAATAAAAAAATGGCGTCAGTTTTATTGTAGGATTAGACATAAACAATGCAAGAATAATTGATTTTCAATGACATTTTTCTCAAAACTTACGCGCTTCCGCATGTAACTTAGTGTGTGCTTATAGTGTAACTTTTCTGTAAAAATACGTATCAACCCCCAACTCGATTGGAGTCAATGGAAAGTCGTACCACGAATTATTTATTGTCCATATTTGTGATTTATATTTATTACATATTGTCAAAAATATTGTTGTTTCTTTTACTCAAAAGCCTATAAAAATTCTGGCACAAAAGGTAAATGGCAATTTGAAGCGACTGGAAAACATAAAAAGTTAAATAAATTGCGCTCTACACGCCATTAGGGAAGCAGATATAAAAATAAGGCTTTCCAAAACCAAAATGCGTCATAAAAAACCAAATCAATGATGAATATAGATTCAATGCAGAGATATGTTTTCTTTTGATAGTGCCGTTCCGTTCCTTTGCAAGTTGCGAGTGCGTTATCAACATCTTAATCAGTACATTTGCTGCAGGTAATAGATCTAATAGATCCAAAAACAGCACAAGCTAAGGCGGAGGAACTTATAGCTGTAGAATCTTTGCTAAGCATCTGTAAATGTCTCCAAGAATGTTGGCGTTCTCAAGCAATTTATACAAGTTTCACATATAACACGGTGTTATTTCTAATGCTTAGCTACTGTCATACAGAGTCGTTAATTGATTTATCATCATTATATAATATTAATAATTCGGTATTGGTAAATTGTGTGAATAAAAGTAGCAAAATTGTGGCCTAAATATTTTTGTTTTTACTTGTATTACTTTATGCAAAACTTAAAAATATTATATGAAAAATGTGTCTGAAATATTAATGATCACTATGCTACACAAAAACACAGTGATTAATAATTTGGTATTTCATTTGCTTTACCTACATTAACAAGGAAACATCAATAGGTAATATCTCCTCAATCACTGTAGGAACTTAAATTGTGAATTAAAAACCTTGATGAAAATTATACGTTGTTTTCTTTTTTTAATTTATTATGATAATAATTACTATATAATATATTTATGTTATGTAAATACATTAAGGTAATGTCTAGATTGACAGCCAGTACAGATTCTGCAAAACAATCTTGCAAAATGTCAAATGACTCCCACATTATTTTATACTAACCCTTAACTGGTATCGGGGGTCACAAATCACCAACACATTTCTCATCATATCTTTCCAGTCTAACCACGCACAACCTTGCGCGTCTATGTAATCTCAGTACGTCGCGAGGTGCGGCGGGTGAAGGACGTTCGTCACTCTACTATTGCTGGAAGCGGAGGTATGTACACTACTGGGGTCAAAGATCACCCCCGACACCAAAAGTGTTCAGTTTGTTGTAAAAGCATTTTGTAACATTTTCGTCATCTTTTTTTTAGGTAATAATCGTCACGATGGCTGGTTTTTAAATTCAAATCAAATTGCACAACTTTTGGAAGACGAAGATAAAGAATCGAATTCAGAAACTGACCAAAACACCACAACACCAGTCTGTAACGATGAAGACATTAGTGATTGTGAGGAAGCGAAGATAGTCAGCTGTTCTGAAGAAAGTACATTAGGTACAGATTTAAATTCTTCAAGTTCAAGCAGTGAGGAAGAAGAAACTAAACAAACTCCTGGTTTCTATAGGGGTGAAAATAGATTCAAGTGGTCTAAAAATCCACCTAGCACGTCCCGGGTAAGACAACACAATACCATCACACCGCGTCCGGGCCTCGCAGGAGCAGCGCGTGAGAAAATGAATATGACGGAAACTGAATCTTGGCAATTGTTAATTCCTGATGAACTGATAGAAATTGTGTTTGCACACAAATGAAAAAATTACTGAATTTACTGAGAAATATAACAGCCATACATACAGTGCCATACCAGTGTATACCGATCATGTAAGTTTATTAGAAATGAAGACATTTTTTGGACTTTTGCTACTTGCCGGTGTTTTCAAATCCGGACATGAGGATGTTAATAGTTTATGGGCTACAGATGGAACAGGTCGCGATGTGTTTAGGGTCACTATGTCTCTAAAGAGGTTTTTATTTATTTTATCAGCATTACGATTTGATGATGTGTCGACAAAAGACGAAAAACAAGAGACCGACAGAGCCACGCTTATTTCTTAAATATTCAACAAATTCATCGATAACTATCAAAAAAATTATAGATGCTCAGAACACTTGACTGTGGATGAAATGTTATGCCCATTTAGAGGTAGATGCCTTTTGCGAGTTTACATGAAATCCAAGCCAGCTAGACGGCCTAAAAGTGATGTGTTTGTGCGACGCTAAAACACATTATTTATATAATTCGTTTATTTACAGCGGAAAGACTGGAACAAATAGAAGAGATGGGATTTCTGTACCTACTTTAAGTAATTACAGAAATCCCATCTCTTCTCTCTCTCTCTTCTGTTTTGAAGTTGGCTGATCCTGTGAAGAGAACTCACAGAAATATTACAGGTGATAACTGGTTTTCATCGGTTGAGCTGGTTGACAAAGTGAAAGAAATTGGTTTGACGTATGTTGGAACTATGCGGAAAAACAAACGTGAGGTGCCGCCTGAATTTTTGCCACATAAAACGCATCCTGAAGGCTCCACTTTATTCGGATTTACCAACGATAAAACACTGGCGTCGCATGTTCCGCAAAAAAAAAACAAGTGTTGTTATGATTTCCACCATGCACCACGATTAATCTTTTGATTCAGAAAGCGGAAAGCTGGAAATCATACTTTTTTACAATACCACAAAAGGAGGCGTAGATACCCTTGATCAAAAATGTGCAAATTATTCTGTAGCCAGGAGAACTCAACGATGGCCATGCGTTTATATTTTCGGCTATCCTGAATATTTCGATGGTAAACGGTTACGTTTTGTGGAATGCAGCAAATCCAGATAAGCGTCTAAAAAGAAATAAATATATAAAGAATATTGGAATTAAGTTAGTAACACCATTTGTGCAAATTAGACAGAAAGAATCTTCCAATTTCTCTCAGATCTAAAGAGGCGTATAGAAACATTTCTGAAAGAACATCAAGAGGGAGACTTGGAGTCGGAACTAAATATGCCTATTTCTGACTCTCAAATTAGCAACTGTAAGAGAGGAAGGTGCTACTTATGTGATCGCAAAAAAGACCTAAAGTATACCAAAAACTGTAGCAAGTGCTTACTTTTCATTTGTAAAGAGCATACTGCTAAAGCAGTCACATGTACCAAATGTTAGAAATTTAGAGGTAGTTTTTGGAACGTTTGTTTTATGTTGTCATTTTTTTATTTTTAGTAGATCGGAAAAGGAGTTTCTATTTTTTTTATCCAGACTATATAAGAAAACCAAAGAAGAAAAAAGATAATGTTATATTTAGTTTTTAATAGAAAGAAAAGTTTCTAAAAAGTAACATGTAATACAAGGATATATTTTGTAAATTAAAAAAAATGTGATTTAATATTAAGTTGGGCTTAAATATTGATTGATCTCTAGATTCAAAGTTGTAGTTTAATAAATAAAAGTTAAAATTAAAAATAAGTGTTATTTGTAATATTTATGCATCATTTGATTATAGGGGTCATTTTTCACCCCCAATACCAACTACGTTACCTATTTTAGCGATTCCAGTAGAGGGTTAAACTGAAGTGGCAAACAAACTAGGTTACCTCATAGTAAGTAGCTAAGTCCATGGATACCTGAAGCCAGCTTCAAAGAGGCTACAGATGAGTTAATCACCTCTGAGGTCTAAAACGGAATTTCTCACAGCTTTTAGTTATGCTGGCTCTAAATATAAACCTTCAGATCAAAACAGCAATGCACACACTTCCTATTCGGCGGCAAAAATAGGTAAGAGGGTGGTACAAACCCAAATGGATTTCTAAGCAAAAAGGAGTCCTACCTTAAGTATACATATCATTGTGATTGTTGCCACTTGTTGACAATTCATCTTCTTTTGTGATTTAGACTGACACATGTAAATAATTCACTTAATTTGTTTTTTTGGTGTGGTTTGTTTATTTGGTCATTAGCTTTCACAAATTAAAATCTAAGTTTTTTGTAATATAACCATCAAATCAGCTGCAGATAATAATATACAATTTATTACAATTTAAAATTTTGTACAACCAACTTCAATATAAATTATTAAGAATAACTCACAAACTATTGGACCTTGATCAAATTTATATGGGACCACATGAGAAGCACCAGCTTTCAAATAAAAAAAGAATCATCGAAATCAATTAACCCAAAATAGAGTTATGAGGTAACACACATAAAAACATACAGTTGAATTGAGTACCTCCTCCTTTTTGAAGTCGGTAGTAAAACGATTGTTGCCACTTGGTGAAACTTTCATCTTCATTTATGATTTATATATAGTTTAAATTCATATGGAGAAAAAAAAGTTTTTTTTGAAAACAGATGAAAATAGCCTTGAACTAAAATTAAAATAAACATCTACTTATTTTTTTAAATGTTACCTATGAGGTTTTAAAATGAATGCAAAATATGTATGGATTATATAATATTTAGATTACAAGTGTGAGATTGGGATAATAGCTTTTTTTTTTACATAGGCATCCACAGAGAAAGGATTTTGAAAAATTCAAACCCTTAGTGGTTGCAATAGCGTACTACAGTACTGTGTGACACTTTTTATTTTACAAAGATTTCATATTTGTATGATGCAATTATAACTTAAAATCTGTGATGTTATAATTCCGAAATTTGAGAAAGTTTCCATGTGATAACTTGAGCTCTATGTATAAAACAATCTTATAATAAGCATGGGTCACCAACTGTCTGGATGTTAGAACTTAGACAAGGGTAACACTGCAAACTGCTAGTAGTCAAATTTAGAAATTTGTTTGTGTGTAAATAAATATGGTTTTAAAAGTATTATAATTATCTCTAAGATTTGTTACTGGTTTCAACAAGCCACTTAATGCACCCACTCACTGTTTATAACCTAAAGAATGTTCCACCAAAACTTTTTACACTAAGCCTTGCTTTATATGAGTTAGACCATATATAACAGCAGTACTCCATGCACAAGCGGATCTGCACTTTATATAAGGTAAGAAGCTGCCACTGCATGATGTACCACCACACCCTTGCAAGGACACCAAATTTCCTCATGGCTGCCTTGGCTCTGGACTCAATGAACTGCCCATAGCTGAGGTTTGAAGAAAATTCAATCCCTAACAACTGAAGGTGGTAAGGATCCAAGGATACATTCGGGGATATTGTTTATAGTGTGAATCTGAAGATTTGTTTAACATTTACAGAGCAATTATTCAGCAAAACATTTGAAGAATAGTTTTTTTGCAGATGTTTAGCTATTGCACTCTCCCAAACAACCAAGGTAGACAGACAACTGCCAAGGTGCCATTGTCTTTTTCATATGGTTGATTACATCAGCAGAAAATTAACAAAACCACCATTTTCTATTTCCCTCTCCTCCTTTAAAACTAGACAAATTTAAACAAAGTAAAAAAAATAGTGATTATATTAGTATCTGCATGTTTTTCTTTTATATTTTATGTAATTACTTGCTGGTATCTAACATAACTGTAGTTTTAGTAGATTTCGAGTTTTTCTAATAAATGGTAAAAATAAAACATTGTGCATCATAATAAATATTTGCTCTAGTGGCATTAGCCAGAGTATAACAGAGCAATAAGAATGCCTAGACTAAACAACGCATGGACTATCCCTTGAATGATTTTGATTTATATTACTTCATCCCCGGCATGAGTTAAGACTTAAGGTTACATGAAAAAAAAACTATATTAACCGAATAAAACTAATGGCTAAGACTACATTTCGAATTTTAGAGCGCCAAATGGGAGAGGCTAGTTAAAACAAAACAAAATAAACAGAATTTACCACTCGTTACATACTCTTTCATAAAATCATAAAGTTAAAAATGGACTTCCTACACATTTATTAGCTTACTTCTTTTTCCGAATTTTGATAATATATCACTTATGGATAACCTCAAACAAACTTACATGAACGCAGTTTAGCCGCGGGGTATCCACATTGAGCACATTTAGATTTTTGGATGTGGTATGAAGATCTACCACATCTTCTGCATAATGTATGGGTCTTATTACGCCGCTTACCAAAACTTGAAGTACCTTTCGTCTGAAATATAAAAGGTTATAACATTACACCACCTTAATTATAAAAATAAAAGTATAGGTCATTGACATTATTTATCACTTAAATAAACCATATTCCATATTTAAGATATATTAACAACAACTAAAGATTAATAACGATTTAAAAAGAAACTATTAAAAGTTACCGTACCATTTTGTTAGACTTTGACAACTAAAAAGAACCATAGATAAATAGATATGTAAAAAGCTGACAATAACATATTTTTTTTTAGAGTTTATGGCCTGGCATCTAGACCTTTAGGCCAAGTCTTGAGTATTTTTATTCGGTTTATTATAATTTCCCCACTGTATTTTTGATGAATTTATATAGAGGCACGTAATAGGATCTATTTTTTAACATATCACTCAGGCGGCGGGAGGGATCTTGCACTGTCACTTGATTTTGCACTATGTCACTAATTTCACTGACAAGAATCAATCTGTCAAATGAAAAGCACTCACATGTAAATATGAAATGTTCGATATCACCAACAGAATTATTGCAGAAGGTGCAGTAACTGCTCTCCACTATGCCCAATCGAGCCAGGTGGGCCGGGACGGTGGAGTGACCAAAGCGCAGTCTATTTATAGTGGTAACAAAGTCCCGACTGGCCATTTTCAGTTTGTTATACCATGGTGCTACAGGTAGTTTTTCTTGAACAGTTCCATACCATTTACCCTTCTGTTCTTGATCTTGTTTCCAAAATTCGACCCATAAGCTATTGACCTGGTTGTCAATAGATTGATAACAGTCGGTCAAAGGTACTTTTACTATGGAGCTAACATCCAACATGTTGGTTCCATCACGTGCAATTTTATCTACTATCTCATTTCCTGTTATGCCCCTATGTGATGGAATCCACATGAAAGAGACCTGTATACCCTTTTTTGCATAACTAAATAACAATTTTTTAATATTATACAAAATATAGTTTTTTTTTAAGTCACTTCTGAGATTAGTTAAACTTTGGACCATACTTAAACTGTCTGTTAAAATTAAAAAATTATTAAAACTATTTATATGTGCAATCCTCTTCAGGGCCTCGAGGGCCGCATATACCTCTGCAGTGAAAACACTGCATTTAGGGTCCAGAAGAAAACTTTGACCAAACTTGCATTGTGGATCATAAACGGCACTGCGCACAAAGAGCTTTGCTTTTGCTACCATCTGTATACAAAGTATAGTAGTTATTGTCGGAAATAAAACTTAATAATTCACAATTATTAAAAAAATTTTTGGTAACAATATTGGTCTCAAATATAATACAGGAATATGGGTATGTGTAGCATGTCCACTTTGATTGTTTAATTACATTTTTAAAATCTTCATTCATTTGCTGTACAATGAGAGGCAAAACTGGAAAATAACCTTGTAAAAGCTCACCTCCCGAAGTCTGCTGGACCGAGCATTGTAAAGGAAAAAGTACCATTTTTTTGAGAACATTATCATTACCAGATACCAGCTTTAGTAAATATCTCTCTATTAGCAGAAGTCTTCTAAGACACAGTGGCATTATTTTGGTTTCAACTTCCATAGCTCGTATGGGAGTTGAACACATAGCCCCAGAAATAATTCGCAGAGCTTTGTTTTGAATTATGTCTAGTTTTTTTACACAACTACTATTTGAGTAGGCTAAACAACTGTAGTCGAAATGGCTTCTGACTATAGATTTATATAGCATACTTAAAACTTTGGGGTCTGCACCCCAAGTCACACCAGCTAAACATCTTATAATATTTAAGCCCTTAAGAGAGTTAGTTATAATGTGATTGATGTGTAAATTAAAACAAAGTTTGTTATCAATGACAACACCCAGGAATTTATGGTTAGATACAACTGAAATTGGATGATTATTGTAGAGTATGCCATTAGAGGGAAAATCTTTACTAAAAATCATGGCCTTGCTTTTGTTAGGGTTAATCTGTAGAGCCAACTTGTCATTGCTCTAAAGCATTATTTATACTATTTACAGCTCTATCTACATTATGGTCTGTACAATATATTACAAGATCATCCGCAAATTGTAAAATATTTACACCTTCTATATTTACAAAATTAAGAATTTGACTAGTGTATATGTTGTACAACAATGGAGATAATGTAGCCCCCTGCATTGTACCTTTGGAGACCCTTCTGGGACCATGGAGAATATTATTATGCCTTATATACAAAGTTCTATCTATTAAAAAATTAAATAACCAATGGCAAAGTATGCCTGGTATACCAATGTCAGAAAGAACTTGAACCAAAATGCCAGGATCTACATTATCAAACGCACCTTCAATATCCAGAAAAACACAAACACTGGACTTATTATTATTATTGGCATATTTCAGATCTGACAAGAGAGAGATGAAGCTGTCAGCACAACTTCTGCCTCTCCGGAAGCCATATTGAACATGTGGAATGATGTTGTTCGCCTCTACATAACACTCAAGACGCATCTTTATCATGTTTTCATTAAGCTTTCCAACACAAGATGACAAAGATATAGGACGATATGAATTAGGATCTTCAGGTGGCTTGTCAAGCTTAAGTAGAGGGATTACACACTGTGTTTTCCAAGATTCAGGAATTTTTTTTAAGTGCCAAAGAGCATTAAGATTAGCTAATAGTTTCTTTTGTACGGACTGATTTAGGTTTTTGATCAAAATGTATGGACAATTATCTAAACCAGGGGTTGTGTTTCGTCTGGATTGTAAACTTGTACAAAACTCACTCCAAGTAAAGGGTTCTATGAGGAAACTGGACTTCTGAAGACTATTATTAATTTGAAAATAACTTTCTAGATTATCAATAACCCTACATCCATTTCGAGATAATTTGTCTAAAAGAGGGACTACAAATTCGTCTTTATATGTTCTATTATTGCATTTTATTCGTTTAAATAACTTGATGTATTTCCAAATAATACTAACAGGTGTAGTTCTGTTAAAAGTATTACAGATGTTAGCCCAACCATTGCGTTTATGTTCTGAAATAGTCTTTTTCTTAACAGCATTAAGTCTTTTGTAATTAATGTAATTATCAATGGTTGGATCTCTTCTGTACAGTTTTAAAGCTTCATAAGTTTTAATAACACTCTGTTCACATGTGTCACTCCACCAAGGTGCTGGAGGTTTGCAACGATAGTTGTTTGCTTTGACAAACTTTGGCACAGTATCTCTCCTAAGTGTATCAAGCCTTTCAATAAATTCATCATATGACTGTAATGGATTCTCATTATTAACTTCAAAATTAGAAAAAGCAGTTATAGACAGCTCATTGTATTTTGTCCAGTCTGTCTTGTTGTATAAGAATTTTTCAATGGGAGGATTAATTTGGTATCTATCAACTGACAATAAAACACTAGTAAGCGTAGGAAAATGATAGCTCCCCATACAATCATCATGCACCCACCATTCGCATAGTGGAGTGATTGAAGCACTACAAAAGCTGACATCAATAGCCGATGGATTTCGGTTAGGATAATTAATAGTAGTGAAGCTACCATTGTTGAGGACACATAGATCAAATTCATCAATTAAATCGTATAACTGATGACCCCGACTTTTCGTGGTCATACACCCAAATGCCACATGGTGAGCGTTGAAATCTCCAGCCACATATATTGGCTTAGGCAAATCTCTAATTATATCACGCAGTTTACTTATTCTGAAGTTACCATTCGATGGAGGGCAGTATACACATAAAATCGTTAATTGTTTACCACTTACATATAACAATAATGCCACAGTCTGAATGTCTTGGTAAAATCTGGTTTGAATAATATTATATTTAAAATACGGTTTGATCAAAATTGCTACTCCACCATGCTCATTTTGGGCATTATGATAGTGGAAATTATATCCCGAAATGTTAAAATGCTGAGTATCTTTCAGCCAAGTTTCATTGAGTAGACAGATATCAACATTTTGCTCATCTAAAAATTTAGACAATAAGGATTTTTTCCTATGTATACTTTGAATATTGTACTGAGCTATACATAACTGCTGTATGTTCTGTACTGTACTGTCCATTATTGTGACAGATTTTTTAAAAGTAAGTCTTTAATGAACAGTGTAGTCACAGGTTCATTATCTGTTTTATTACCTAATTCGACTAAAGTTTGGACCATTGCCATCAAAATATTCTTATTGTTTGCAATTTGAGCCTTAAGTTGAGTTTGGTTCAAGTTGGGTTCAGGCACTGTTTTATTTACATTATTTACAATTTTTACATTTTTATTTAATTTATGTACATTTTGGTTTATTGATGGTAGGGTCTTAACAATGCTGCTCGACTGTGCAGGTAAAGACGGAAAATCAGATGACTTAATTGTATTAGCTACAGAGGCATAAGTAATTTTACCCTTTTTTTCAAGTATTTTTTTCATTTTTATTGGGCAAGATTTGGAAATGGCCAGGTGGGGACCACTGCAATTGACACAACACAGGTTTTCTTTTTTATCACAGTCTCTGAAATTATGTTCCCCAGCACATATCGAGCAACGTTGTTTACCATTACAAATTTTCGCAGGGTGGTTGAACTTGAAGCACCGGAAGCATTGTTGTAACGGTGGGACATATTCAAACACCCTGAACGAAAATAGGTCATATTGGATGTTTTCGGGCAGAACATTTGATAGGAAAGTTATACTGACCGTCTCGAGACCTACAGTACTTTGACCGATTTTTTTCGTGAATCTTCTCACTGAAATAATTTCATAAATCGAAGACAGTTTCGTATATAATTCCTTGTTCGAAATGTTGGTAGGCACATATCGGATGATTCCAGTTTTTTCTATCTGCGCTGCAGGAATATGCGCCTTCAAGTTGTGCTTTGTTAAAAAGTCTGTATTTGTGATGAAATTATTTGCAGTGTTTTATTGTTTAAAAACAACCGCAATTTTGTTGGCATTGACTCTATGTAAAGCTACCACACCTTTCACCTCCGAAGTAAAAATATGATTTAAGTAAACTGGGCTTTTATTTCCAAGTTTAACCTGTTTGTCCTGGCTTTCAACAAAAACTTTGAAGTCCGTATTTGTACAATGTTCAGGATAAAGTCTCAGATAACCTGGCTTAAAAAACGGAATAAAGTCATCCTCACCGCCGCCTACTTCAGGTCCACTTTCCTTCGTACCTCTTTTACGAACAATTTTGGATCGTTTC